GTTCAGATTTAAGCACGACAAGGGATCCACTTCAGAGGAGACGGCAACAGCTTTGAGATGTGACCCCCTGCAAGGCCAAAGGTATTTCAAAGACTCCGCTGCAGACCCGCCCTTGCTGCCCTCAAAGATGTCAAGAGAGACCTCCACCCTGTTTCTTGCTCACTGCAATCCTGACGGTTAAAACTAGTACTGCTGTAGATGCTGACCAAAGCAACCTGCTTTGGCCGCACACTGTTGCTTCTCCCCTCTGCTCCCAACCTCCACCTATCTAAGCCCCACACTGAGATCCAATGCCAGAAGGTTACGACCACAACGAGCCCACCAAGCCTGGCTGTGACCGAACACCCCCAAAGCCAGCGTCTCCCATCCCCCCTTAGACTCACACTCAAGCTGGGTAGCCTCTTCTGGAGACCTTCCCCCCCACACACACACCTGGCTTCACATCCATAGGTGTGTCAGGGTCCTTAGGTTACGCAACACAGAGCTTCATGAGAAGATAACTGCTTATTGGTAAATCCAATACTAGAGACACGTGTACAGCTTGTGTCAGGAATAGCTGCCAATACAAGGGCCACTGACTTATACTAGAATCAAACATCCCCCCAGTAAGAATGAGCCAATGGATACATTTTGCGCGTGCGGGCAAAGCAAGGAGGCAAAGCAAAACGCCGTTAACCTTCCCAGCCGAGTAAAACTGCAGCTGGAACATCTACAAGGTGAAGCATAAGATAGCAAACAGTTGGTGAGCCAGGGAGAGCTGAGACAGAAAACGGGAGGGCACCCCTTCACCTTCCAGACCTATGACAGGGCTACCTGACATCGGCTCCGTACTGGTGGAATGAGCTACCTGAAGACATCAGGACCCTGCGGGACCTTTTCCAGTTCCGCAGGGGCCTGTAAAACGGAGCTCTTCCACCAGGCCTTCACTTAAGGAGCCGCCCGCAACCGTCTGAGACCCTGGCCCCAACACTAATAACACCACTGGATAGCCCGTGCCTCGCTAATACGACCGAGACTGTGTGCTAACTGTGGACTCCCGTCATGGTATATGGTATGTGCATGGTATGCATGCATGGCATGCATGGTATAAGCAAACTGCGGAGCACGACGGAAGGCAGGAGAGCCTGGCGTGATGTGGTCCATGGGGTCACGAAGAGTCATAAGAACGTAAAAGAAGCCAATGTTGGGTCAGGCCAGTGGCCCGTCCAACACTCTGTCACACAGTGGCCAAAAATACCAGGTGTCATCAGGAGCTCCAGCAGTGGGGCCAGGGCACTAGAAGCCCTCCCACTATTGCCCCCCCCCCCAAAGCACCTAGAATTCAGAGCATCACTTGCCCCAGACTGAGAGTTCCTGTCTATATCTTGTGGCTAAAAGCCACTGATGGACCTCTGCTCCATATGTTCATCCAATTCTGTCTTATAAGAACATAAGAGAAGCCAGTGCTGGATCAGGCCAATGGCCCATCCACTCCAACACTCTGGGTCACACAGTGGCCAAAAAGACCAGCAGTGGGGCCAGGATGTGCGAGTGAACTATGCGACTGCACAACAACAACAAAAATGTCACGACTAGCACAAATATGTCATTCCTAGCACGTTATGCATTGTTTTGAACTTGATCTATTGCAATTTTACTTGAGAAATGGTTTTATTACCTGCGATAACGACGTGAGCCGCCCTGAGCCTGCTGCAGCGGGGAGGGCGGGATAGAAGCCAAATGAATTAAAATAGATAACTAAACAAACCCGCCCCCTCCCACATCCATTCCAGCCACCACCACCCCTTTATTCCCTATTCATTCAACTTTTTAAGACATTTAAGCAACTTTTCAGATTCCCCCTCCATTTTACCTTCCCCCTGCCCCAGGGGACATTTCTTTCAGACCCTCCCACCCCCCCCCCCCCATTTGGGCCCTCCCAAGACCAGAGGAGCCCCCAATTTAAGCCTCTCCCCACCTTTTCTTTTTTGTGGGGGTCCCCTTTCCCCTCTGCTCAGAGACCACCTTCTCCCCCCAGCCCGGGGGGGGGGTCCTTCCTTCTGGCCTCCCCAGGTTCTGCCCCTTTGCTGGGTTTCCTCAACTGACCTCCTTTCCTCTCACCACCCCTCCTCCTCCTCCTTCCCAGTCTCTAGTTCTTCCCCTTCTAAGCAAAAAAGGCGCCTTTTCGGCTGTCAGCCGTATTCCGCGGCAGGCGTCGTCGTAAAACGTGGGACCGGGCATTGGCATTGGCCGGCTCGGGGATTATTTCCCTTGTGTTGTTTTTACGGCTCTGCCGTAAGGAAAAGAGTCAAGCGAAGTAACACGGCCAAAATAGCCGGGGGGGGAGAGGACTACAGGTCCCAGAATGCACCGCGGCTAGTCGCGGAGTTGCTGGGCCTTTTTTTGAAAAACAATTTTTAGAAATCCACTTTTTGTTTCGTTTTATGGCAAAATAGCTGTAGTACAGCGATTTTTCCGCCCCCCCGGTTAGTCCATTCGCCGTAAGAAAAATTGAAATGAAGAAAGGTACGAGGCGAGGAAAAGATTGGAGACTACAACCCCCAGAATGCCCCGCGATGAGTCGCTCGCCGTCTGGCCGCTTTTTAAATTATTGTAATCTTATTTTCTCATGTTGGGGAATAGGGATAGTAAAGCGCTTCTTGCCGTTTACTGCCTTGCTTAAAAAAATAAAGAAAAAAATAATAAAGGTGTGAGGCGAGGAAGGAACAGGCGGGATACGGGAACGTTCCCCCCAGCATGCCCCGCGGCTACCGTCCACGGGTTCAACTTACATTTATCTTACTTTTTCGTTTCTGGCACTTACTAAACTTTCCCGCTTCTTCGTTCTAATCCTTTTTAAAATCAATTAATTGGTTTTTTTTTTTTAAAAAAAAATTAATTGTTCTTCGAGGATGTTTTGTTTTATTTCCGGGGTCAGGTGCGTCAGAGCCCAGCTGGTCACGTGAGCTCAAGATGGCTGCCCGGCGGCGGCTGTGAGGGGGAAGTGACGGTTCCTGGCGGAGGCGCGGGGCGAGAGGAGAGACAGAGACCGGCGAGGGGCGGCTGAGGCTTGGAATGGACCTGGCGCTCACGTCTTCCGGCTTTTGAGGGGGGCTGGATGGAAGCGGAGAGCAGGAAGAGGCCGTGAAAGGCCCCTTTTCCCAGGGAGGGAGAACCGGGGGGGGGGAGCGGAAGGACAGTAACTCCTTGCGGGGAGGGGGCAGGAGCCAGACCCATAGAGGATGGGGGAGGGGAGTGACCCCCAAATGAAGCGACTGGCCTCACCCTCAGACCCATTTGGGGCAGAGGGCTGACCTTTCCCAGGCGTGGGGCAAGTGCCTCCCCCAATTAAGGAGGTCAAGGGGGTAAGCGATTCTCTAGACGGGTAAACCGTAGGTGGAAGGGAGAGATAGTCCCTTCGTTAATAGTTTCTTCATTAGCTGCATGGGAGAAGAACAGAAGTGCCCCCTTCAGCTCCCTCCTCCAGCTTTAATAGATTCTGTGTGACCAAGAAGGGAGGGGGGGGGGAACACTCTGTTTTCTCCATGTCCCATTGCCGCCCCCACCCGGAAACATGATCAGCGCCCCGGACGTGGTGGCCTTTACCAAAGAGGAAGAGGAGGAGGAGGAAGCCTACAGCGACCCGCCTCTACCCGAGGAGTACTCAGTGCCGCTCTTTTCCTCCCCCTTCGCCAGCCAGGGGGCCAACCCCTGGTCCAAGCTCTCCGGCGCCAAGTTCACACGGGACTTTATCCTCATCTCAGAGTTCTCGGAGCAGGTCGGGCCCCAGCCGTTGCTCACCGTCCCTGATGACGCCAAAGTTTCCGGCACCTTCGATCTCAACTATTTTTCCCTTCGCATCATGTCGGTGGATTATCAGGCCTCCTTCGTTGGGCACCCACCTGGGTGCCCGTACCCAAAGCTGAACTTCGTGGAAGATTCGAAAGTAGTGTTGGGGGACTCCAAGGAAGGAGCTTTCGCTTACGTGCACCACCTGACTCTTTATGACCTTGAAGCGAGAGGTTTCGTCCGCCCTTTTTGCATGGCCTACATTTCAGCCGACGAGCACAAAATTATGCAGATGTTTCAAGAGCTCTCCGTAGAGTTCTCGAAAGCCTCGGAGTGTTTAAAAACGGGCAACCGGAAAGCCTTTGCGAACGAATTGGAAAAGAAACTGAAAGACCTCAACTATACTCGAACTGTACTGCACAACGAAACGGAGGTCCAGAAGAAAAACAACGAAAAAGGGTACTACAGCACGCAGGCTATTGAGAAGGCCAACGAACTGGCCAGTGTTGAGAAATCTATCATAGAGCACCAAGATCTTCTCAAACAGATCAGATCCTATCCTTACAGTAAACTGAAAGATTCCGATTTTCATCCTTATGAGCCAGAGAGTGCAGTGGAACTGGCAGAAGACAACTTGGAACAGGGAGTTACTACCTCAAAACCTGACGAAACTGGTGAAATGAACCCGTATCCCCGGCGCTCATCTTACACCCCGAAGCTTATCAAGGCAAAATCCACCAAGTGTTTCGACAAGAAACTCAAAACCCTTCAAGAACTGTGCGATGTATACTTTTTCACCCAGACGCTCGATCAGTTGCATCAGATTGAAAAAACATTCAGAGGTGACGTTTGCTATCTTTTAACCAATCAGATCAGCCGAGCACTTTTGAAAAAACAAACAATTACCAACTTTCTCTTTGAAGAGACGTTCACTGTCGAGGAAAGACCGCCTGAGAAACAGTCGAATGCCTTCCAGGCGTCTCCTCTAGATTCCTCTGATGCCAAATACTTGGAGGTCTGTCCTGTTCCAAAAATGGCAATTAACTTGACGGTTTACAAATCCAGTGTCGAGTCTGTACCCATTAAGATGGATCAGGAACTCGAAGACACCCCAGGCACGGAAGTTGGTGAGCCGATGGCTTACGACCAACAGGACAATCTTGGATACCTTGATGCAGACCTCAAAGGAAGCGTCAGCAGCGGCGAAAGCATTGAGGTTTTGGGGACAGAGAAGTCCGCAGCCGCCCTTGCTCTGTCTGAAAGCCAGGCCAGCTTGCCACAGCCTCACCCAAGTCCACAGGCAGTGAGGAACAAAGCCGTCAGTCGGCGGACCATAAGTGAGGACAGCATCGAAGTCCTCAGCACGTGTCCCTCAGAAGCACTGATTCCTGACGACTTTAAAGCGAGCTACCCAAGTGCCATTAACGAAGAGCCTTATGCCGACGAAGAAGACGAAGGTCTTCGCTTCAGCCCCAGTTTAAATCTGGACCGTGCCGAAGAGATGGGAGGCGATCCGGAACCCGAAAACCTGCTTCCTGCGGACTCCACCTGCTGCATCGGAAAAGAGAGCTCCAGCTTTCTTGAGCCGCTGCCTAACCTGGCCCCCAAACTTTGCGACGACGACGGGGTGGTCAGTATCCCACCCCGGCCCTACCGACAGGCGGACCAGGAATTCCGCATAAATTTTACAGACTATTCTTCCCACGATGGCATCACGGGAAGCCTCCTGACGTACGAACCGGATCCGCATTATCTCATGAGCAGCCCCGAGACGGGTAAGATAAGCCTGGATAAGTGTTCGGACTCGACTGTGAGTTACATGAGCAGCACGGGGTCTACGAGCTCGGACAGGACGCCTTCCCCCGCCCCTCTCATCGGCCCGTCGGGAGAAAGGCACAAGAAGAAAGCAGGCCAGAACGCCCTGCGGTTCATCCGGCAGTATCCTTTCGCTCACCCAGCCATATATTCTCTGCTAAGCGGCAGGACGCTGATCGTGCTGGGGGAAGACAAAGGGGCCGTGGAGAAACTCGTCACGGCGCTCTCCATTTTTGTCCCCAACTGCGGGGCATATGCCAAGCCGGTGAAGCACTGGACCACCTCACCTTTACACATCACCGATTTTCAGAAGTGGAAGCTAATTGGATTGCAAAGGTAAAAACAAAAAAAACCACAACCCTCTAACTTTTTAACCTGAGGGACTCAGTGGTAGAGTGTCTCCTTGGCATGCAGAAGGTCCCTGGTTCAATCCCCGGCAGTTCCAGTTAGGGATCGGATAGTAAGTCATGTGAAAGGCCTTCACCTGAGACTCTGGAGAGCTGCTGCCAGTCTGAGTAGGCAATACTTGCTTTGGCGGACCCAGGGTCTGATTCCATATGTCAGCTTCATGTCTGTTCAACCTTATCCAGACCTTCTTTTCTAGCAACGGCCTGTTTGATGTAGTGGTCTGGTTGAGCCAGTTTGGTGCAGTGGTTAAGAGTGCGGACTCTAATCTGGGAGAACCGGGTTTGATTCCCCACTCCTCCACTTCCACCTGCTGGATGACCTTGGACAAGCAGTAGTCCTGGCAGAGCTGTTCTTGAAAAAGAGCAATTTCTGCCAGAGCTCTCTCAGCCCCACCTACTTCACAGAGTGTCTGTTGTCGGGAGAGGAAGGGAAAGGAGTTTGTAAGCCGCTCTGAGACTCCGAGTGAAGGGCGGGGTATAAATCCAATCTCTTCTCTTCTCTTGATTATTTGGAGAAGCCAGCACAAAGCTGTAGTTAGTTCAGGCAGCCTAGTAATCATCTATGGCAGCCAACCGAAGACTCATTCCCCCGCCCCCAATTTTGTTGCATGTATGGCAGTACAAAAACAGGGTATTCTTCAAGCTCTTGCCATTTCGCAATATGTGGCTGTAGGGTGGAGTTTAACATGCAGGGTCCCAAGGTGCACTGGCCTATCGTATCCGCCTCATATTTTTGGGAAGGGGCCACGTTTGATTAACACTGTGGACTGGCTGCCCAAAGCTAGCTTTCACTTTGAATGTATCTAGTTTTTTAAAAAAATTAGTTCATTTAGATGTTGTGGTTTAATATGTGAGGTAAATTTGGCTTTGTTGGCAAGAATCAACTGGTTTCTTCCGGAATTCAGGAGGGGCCCCTTTTCTCCTTCAGTGGGTGCCCAGAGCAGCATACAGCATTCTCCTCTTCCTCCATTGAATCCTCACCGGTCAGGTAGGTGAGGCTGAGAGCGTGGGACAGGCCAAGGCTCATCTGCCACACTTCTGATGCATGTATGTTACTGTGGCCGGTTGGCAGCTGAAATAGACGATAGGAAACAACTGACGCGTATGCTGTCCGATTTTCCGCAATGCCAAAAAGAAGTTCTCACTGAGAAAGAGCAAACGTTGGAAGTGCGTAACTTTGTGGTAGTCCTGATCTTTAACTTTCCTTTACTAAAACACTTTGTTCAAACCTTCTCTCCATAGAAAGCATAGTAGATCTGCTTCCCTTCCTATCTTTTTTCCCCACTAAGAGAATTTTCCCGTTTTATCTACTGTGCCGAGGTTCTTCTGCCACGCTTCTGTGCCTGAGTCGAGATCCGAACCCGGGTCTCGCAGGTCCTCATCCCGTATTCTAACCCAGTACGTGTGTTGCCTTCTTTGTCCTCACTTGTCAATGAGAACTCTGCTCTACACACAAGCAATATTCTCTCTAAGCTGTGGAGTCTTGTGAGCAAAAATTCTACTTTGTGAGCGACTGGTATTAAAGTTGTGAGTGAGCAGTTTGGCTGCTGCATAAATTAGCTTGCTCTGGAGCCCTCCTTCCTGAGCTAAGAAGACAAAAATGTGTGAGCCAGAGGCTAAAAAACTGTGAGCTCGCTCACACTAACTCAGCTTAGAGGGAACACTGCACACAAGTATCCCTAACCCGTCCTCAAGCGAGGAGACAGATGTGACGTATGAACAGAGCCATTGCATTTGTCCACGCTTATGATAGTTTACAATCTTCTGCCAGACCTCTAAGTTTCCATACTCACCGTTGCTCGATTTTGCAGCTTATGTTTCTTCCTGTGCATGGGGCTTGGGTGGGACTGTTCACCTGTAGACCAGAGCATCTCCCAAGAATCACCTCACCCTCCAGTTCATTCCTACAATTGGTTAAGGGCAGAATTGGACCGTGCCATGCCACCGAACATGGTAGTACAGCGTGGTGACATTTGTTGACGGAGTCTTCCCAACGCCGAGGTATCCTTCGGGCCCCAGTCCTCAGGCGAGCTCCCATTTCGGTCTACCCCCCCTGGTCCAATTGTCAGCTTTGTGTTAACAGCCAATCCAAACAACAAGGCGGAAAAGTCTAGTGTCACAGAAGTCCCAAATATACAAACTCCACTAGTAGAAAACACCATCAAAGATTGCCAAAACAATATATTAAACAATTATAAAGTTGGTGGTGTCGCAACAACAACATTAATGCATTCGCTCCTTATGCTATGAACCTGGTGGTCTGTTGAAATTGCTGAAATCAGGTTCCGCTTACACAGCCGGCAAACTGAAGAAGTTGAAGGAAACGCATCTTCCAAGTATCTAGAACGGGCGCCTTTGCAAAGGCTGTTTGGAAAATGTTATGACTATGTGGACTCCCTCCTATCAAGTTACACTGACTACATGGGCTTTATGTCTTAATCTTCAAAGGAGGAAATATCGTATTATAGTAATGCCTTATTATAGTTACAGTACGCATTAATGTTGTTGTTGTGACACCAACAACTTTATAATTGTTTATATTGTTTTGGCAATCTTTGATGGATGTTTTCTACTTGCGTGAACAGCCGGCTCGGATGCTCCTGTACCAAATTACAAGCCCTCGCATATCTCATCCCCCTCCAGAGATTTAAATATGGAAAATGTCACCTTGTCGGGGTGGCTGTCCTTGTGAGCGATCATTGAAAAAATTCCTCCCTGACAGCCCGGTTGTGGCAGGGGAGCTGATAAGGCGGTGTTACCTCCTGGCTCCAGATGCCAAGGAGGAAGGTGTCAGAAGTGAGATTTGGACGGGGGTGGGGAGGGGGGATACTTCACTCTTGTATCAAGCTATCTCTTAACAAGTTTGGTGTCGTGGTTCAGTGTGTGGACTCTGATCTGGGAGAACCGGGTTTGATTCCCCGCTCCTCCACATGCAGCTGCTGGAGTGACCTTGGGTCAATCATAAGTTCTCTCAGAGCTGTCCTTGGAAAAGAGCAGTTCTCTCAGAGCTCTCTCAGCCCCACCTACCTCACAGGGTGTCTGTTGTGGGGAGGGGAAGGGAAAGGAGTTTGTAGGCCGCTCTGAGACTCCCTTGGGTAGTGAAGGGCGTGGTATAAATCCAATCTCTTCTTCTTCTACTACTACGGCTTACCTTGTATGGCACGGATTCAAAGAAGATCAAGGTGTCCTCCTCCTCTTCTTCTTGTATGTTTTCTGTGGCTGTCACTTTCAGAACCCTGCCCTTCAGTGCTTATTTATTTACTTTCTTCATCTGTACTTCGCCCGAAGCAGCTGACGTTGTTCCCCTTTCTATTTTTATCCTCACAACAAGCCTGTGAGGTAGGTTAGGCCAAGATAATTTGACTGGCCCAAAGTCACCCGGCAGGCTTCCACAACAGAGTAGGGATTTCAGACCTCAAGTGTCCCGGCTCCTTGTCCCACACTAACCGCTGGACCACGGTGGCTCTCCATCCGATTTTTCGATTTTGTCAGTCAGTCAGTCGCCTTTATTGGCACGTACAAATACCACAGACAGCAGTTGAACGGGGGTGGGGTGGGGTACAAAGCCAGCTATATAAAAGTTCACGTGGTATTTAAAAGAGAAAATTAATACTGTACCATTTCCTGACAGACTCTTATTGCAGACTGTAAAAACAGGGCTGCCTCCTCAGTAACTCCGGGTAAGCCTTAATGTGATCAGAAATGCCCAACATTCCAGCTGAAAACAGTTCTCAATGTTTAGCACGCAAGTCTGCATATAAGTAGCAGGGCTCTCCATCCGTTGGTGTGGTGTTTTTTTAAGCGACATCCATTAACTTCGGAGCAAGCCATAAACCTAAAACTGGGGATATTTATTTATGTATTTACTTAATCTGTACCTCCCTTTCCCCGCCCAGTAGGGAGCACACAGCAACTTCTGTCATTCTCCTCCTCCATTTTTCTGCTCACAACAATGTTGTGAGGTAGGCTAGCTTGAAAGTGTGGGACTGGCCCCAGGTCCCCCATCGAGCTTCTATGGCAAGGTGGGGATTCTAACCTGCACCCCCCAACTCCTGGTCTGGCCCTCTTGACCACAACACTTCTCCCCCTTTTTCATTTTATTGGCTGCATTCACATAACAACATCAGAAGAGCCCTGCTGGATCAGCCTGGCGGTCCATCTAATCCAGCCTTCCGTCTCTCACAGTGGCCAACCAGTTCCTCTGGAAGGCCAACAACAGGGCAGAGAGGCCGAGACCTTCCCCTGAGAAGAAGAAGAGGAGGAGATTGGATTTATACCCCGTCCTTCACTACCGAAAGGTGTCTCAGAGCGGCTTACAAACTCCTTTCCCTTCCCCTCCCCACAACAGACACCCTGTGAGGTAGGTGGGGATGAGAGAGCTCTGAGAGAAACTGCTCTTTTTCAAGAACAGCTCTTATCAGAACTACGGCTTGCCCAAGGTCATCCAGCCAGGTGCAAGTGGAGGAGTGGGGAATCAAACCCGGTTCTCCCAGATTAGAGACCACGCACTTAACCACGACACCAGACTGGCTCTCAGAAGAGCCCTGCTGGATCAGACCAGTGAGGGTCCATCTAGTCCAGCATCCTATCTCACACAGTGGCCAACCAGTTCCTCTGGAGGGCCAACCACAGGGCAGAGAGGCCGAGGCCCTCCCCTGATAAGAACCTCAGAAAAGCCCTGCTGGGTCAGACCAGGAAGAGTCCATCTAGTCCAGCCTCCTGTCTCACACAGTGGCCAACCAGTTCCATTGGAGGGCCAACAACAGGGCATAGAGGCCTTCCCCTAATAAGAACGCTGGAAGAGTCCTGCTGGATCAGACCAGTAGTCCATCTAGTCTAGCATCCCATCTCACAAATTGGCCATCCAGTTTTCCTGGCGGGCCGACAACAGGGCAGAGAGGCCGAGGCCTTCCCCTGATGTCACCTCCTCCATCCCAAGAGGGGGAGTCAGCGGTCTGAAATGACGGCTTTTGCTCTTT